CTATGTCCGTTTATTAGTCTGCCGCAGCAGGAGGATACCACACTGCTCTAGCTTGCTTGATGTTGCCATGACAACATTACTTCCATGAACTTGTGTTTATCAGGCCTCAAAATAATTCAATTCAAATCCAAATATGTGTAATAGTAAAATAAAATAATTGCTAAACAATTTCTCAAAATATTTATAAGAAATTAGTAAATTGTGCAAAGTATTTTTAATACACATTTTTTAAAATTTCCCTCTGGCCATTAGGGGGTGCTGCACCCCCACTTTCCGCAGTCATGACACTACAGTATGTATGAGATATCTTAATACTTACTATATCTCCCTTTTGTCCTTTTTGCCCCTAGTGAAAGAAAACATCGGGTTATTACAGTGAGCTGTTAGCTTGACGGAAAAGGCATCATTTAATCAAAAATACCAAAAGCCTTTAAAAACATAAAGACCATAATAATGTGTTAGGGTGTCTTAAAAAAAAAAAAACTCACAGGCTTGCCATCCAACCCTATGGGACCCTATGAAAAGAGAAACATTTTTGAGTCCAACTAAATAAATCACTGAGACAATTTCTATGAAAAAAAATATCTTAAAACTAGACAAAATAAATGGTGATATAATGGCTGCAAATTCAGAGGAAAAACAGTTAACCTGGTTAAGGAAATTAATTTCTATACCAGGGGTCACCAATATTTTTGTGTTTGTGGACAAGACATGCCTTCTTCCCATAACAAAGATTTTTTCTCAAGGTTTACATTAACATATATTTATCGTTTCTTTTCATTTTCCAATTTTCTTTTAGACATTTTCCTTTTGAAATCTCTATAAATGCTTAAATTCTCTATATGTATATATATTAATAGATTAAATGCTCTGTAAATGATTAAAGAAGAAGGAAAACAGAAAAAATTAATTCAAAGTCAGCTCAGTGGTGAGTTGTGCTGGTTTCAGAAAGTGCTAAGGGCACCTCATTGCGGGCCCCTTGATGCCTGCAGGCACACATCACGTTGGTGACCCCTGTTCTAAACTATTTTGGGGGGAAAAAAGCAAAGGAAGGACAACTACAGGTATAATGATTTTTTTTTTCTTCTATTTAATGTGTTATAAATGCAGTGAAATACTTCAAGCAAGCTACTTAAAAACAATGACATAAAAAGGAGACATTAACATAAATATACTGTCTTACAAATCTAAATCAGCTCTGTTCAGTG